CATGAGAATGCCAGGCTCTCCAGCCTTTCGATATCAGGACTCACATCAGCTCTCCTCTGGGTTCTCAGGCCTACATACTTGGAATGAGCCACGCTACTGGCACCCCAGGGTCTCTAGTTTGCAGACGGCCTGTCCTGGGACTTCTCAGCCTTCAAAATTGCATGAGCCAATTCCCCTAATAAATCCCCTCTCCTGTATCTGTATCTATATTCTATTGGTTTGGTCTCTCTGGAGAACCCTAATACGGTAGCATAGGGTATAGTCCTAGGTGTCCATCTAGGAGACTGAGTAATTTTGTATCACCCAGCACAGTGTGTTTTAGCATACTTTAAGAGTTATGGAATAAATTAACAGAGACCTCTCACTAGTTACAGATGGTAAAAGACCCACTAATTTTTCATTCTAGTCAGCAGATGGCAGTGTTTTACTTTATTTAGTTAACTGAGGTTTGTTTCCTGAGTCTTGCAACACAATTTTAACTTAATCCATGAAATAACACAGTATTTTTGAGTTAACTTTATACTTTTTGAACCATAAATAAATGTTATAGAATAGGGGTTGTTTTAGGTTTCAAAAAAATCGCACATTTTTTAGTCAACTTGAGCTCTCTTAAACTCTTTAAATTTGCTTTTTACTTTAATTGCAAATAATTGTTCTCATTTTTGTAAATACGAAAACCCTGTTTATTTACTTTATTCCTTAGCTTTATTTCTAAGAAAGGTCAACGCTGAACATTAATTCTGGAAATTAAGTTTAAATTATATTTAACCGAAGATGGCACAGTTAAAAGTTTCTTTGGTTGAGTTTGTCTCCTCTGAGATGAGCCCTGTCAATTCTGAAGTTACAGGACTTGAGACTGAGTCAGGAGACCGGGATTTCATTCAAATTGCTACAAAGTTTGCACTAGATGAGCTACACTGAGCCACTTGAATAATTTTTCACTACAATGTTTAATGAGTGAAATAAGCTCAATGTGTATACTACTATACAGTTGACCCTTGAACAACGCCAAGGTTAGGAGTGCTGATGCCCTCCCTGGCCTCTGCACAGTTGAAAACCTGTGTGTAATATTTGAATCCCAGAAAACTTAACTACTAATAGTCCATTGTTGACCAGAAGCCTTACTGATAACATAGTTGATTCACATATATTTTGTATATGTATTATATACTTACCTTTACAATAAAGCCAGAGAAAAGAAAATGCTATTAAGAAAATCATAAAGAAGAGAAAATATATTCATGATTCATTAAGTGGAGAAGCATCATCATAAAGGTTTTCATCCTCATCATCTTCAGGTTAAATAAGCTGAGAAGGGGAGGAAGAGAAAGAGTTGTTCTTGATGTCTTGGTGGTGGCCGAGGTGGCAGAAAATCTACACAGAAGTGGATTTGCATAGATCAAACCTGTGTTGTTCAAGGGTCAAGTGTATTTATCCTGTAAAAACATTGTAAGTATACTGGTTCTAAAAGTCTGAACTCTCCACAGAGAAACATACAGGAACTGAAGATGAAGAGGACCTTTAAGTAGAAATAGAATTTATTAATAATCAAAGCCTTCAACCCCCGTCTCTATTATAGTGCTGATAATTATAATGAACAAGGGCAAAACATGACACTATTCTCTTTCCTCCTGTGAGCCTGTAACTCTTTATAGTTTAAAGAAGCTTTATTACATATTACTTACTTAAGTGTAAAGAAAAACAATACATTGAGCTACACACATGCCCCTTCCCAAAACAAAACAAGCTCTCCAGTACCTCTTTTGAATGTATGTATAAGAAAAATAACAGAAAAAGTCTCTAATTAGAACTTTCTAAAAGCATTTCTCCCCAGTTAGAGTGCAGTAATGACTATAAATGGCCCTGTCTCAGGGACGGCTCATCAGTCAATTATAAGCAGTTCTGTAAATTGAGGAGTGAAGAATGATACTAGATTTCAATCAGTGCAGATAAATATGGCTTGTCATTATTCACTTGATATTTTAGACAGTCCACCTAAAGAGGAAGATGCAGAACAGAGATACTGTCTTTTCTAAAGAACGGAGATTATAAGAACATTTACCTAAGACTATATTCTTTTCCGGAATATGGTTTTCATAGACACTCAATTCCCATAATCCCCAGAGACGTTCATTGGCTTGCCCAGTTTATTTCCATCTGGTCCTTTCAAACCAGGAAAAACAATATGGTAATTCTATTGTTGCTTCTAGTAGCCTGGAAAAATGGAAATATATATTTAACATAATTCTTACATAATATAGTGGCTCAGTAATTTTTAAATATGTCAATTAACACTTCCATTCCTTTTGATTTTTGTGTCACAGCATCATTTAGCACTCTATGTTTTGGAATAAATATCTCAAAATTCTAATTACATATACTCATCTCTGGGATAATGCTACCTGACCAAGTTTAAATTATTTCTTGTATAGTCTTAAAAGCAAACATGTTAACAAAAAGTTAACATAAAGTAAATAATTGTTTAAATAGCAAACTGTTAATATGTATTAACAATTTTCCAAAATTGCTCTTTTCTATTATTTTTTCTTCCTCTTACTTTTAGATATTTTTCATGAACCCTTTATCTCCATTTTCCTTCATTTAAAATTATGCTTCACTTGTTCTTAAGAATTTTCAATCATGTTAAAAGCAAATATGAGTTCTGTTTGCTTATTGTCACAGATAGCCTCTTGGTTATTATTCTCCACAATCACCTTATTCATGAATTGTAAGTTGGAGATCAGCCTCCCAGTGCAGAACTGTTTAGAAATAGCCCTTCATGCTTGCTCCTCTATTCCCAGAGGAGTTGGCTGCACATGCCTAGATCTCTTTCCATCTGGCCTCTGCACAAAGGGTTTATCCCACTTTAACACAATTCTTTGTATTATAGAGGACCTTGACTTTATCTGAGAGTGAATACATATGAAACAATAATCATGTTGCAGGAAAAACTGATTTGACCATTTTTTTTTCATACTCGAATCCTAAGATGACAGTGAAACTACACTTAGCCGGCAACAAAGACCAAAGGTAAGGCTGTAATGATGACAGAGCTGTAAAAAAGTAAATGTGAAGGGTCTGATTTTTCCATTATTACAGTACTTATGTTTATGTGGCTTCAGTAAAAAGGAAAAAAAAAAACTTGGTACATTTATTTTTATGTCTATTACTGAAAAACCTTCGAGTTTGTAAGACATTAATATGAAAATGGCTGCATTTGCATACTGATAGATTTGTGAACTTTATTGCAATATACTTTTTAACAGAAAAATATAATTATAGTATTTTAAAATGTAACTCTTTCCTCCCTCAGTATAAATCAAATCACAATGACAAGAATCCTGAAACCTCTAATTGAAAATCTTCCTTTAAAAATGCATGGTGGTCTTAATGTTTAAAAGAAGTCAGCCTATTTTCTCAGTATATATTCATGTTATCTAACGTTCTTTTCTCCAATTATTATACATGCAGTTTTATAAGCGAATATTTAAGAGTCTAGAATTTCATGGTATTTTGCCTAGAAATAGATTGGAAGCGCACAAAATCTAAATAAAGAATAAACACCAAAAGGCCAAAAGGAAAGAAAGAACAACAAAAAAAGTACATGCACAAGCACATACACACACCCATATAGGTGTTTTGTTTGTAATAATTTATTTCAAAATGTATTGTACAATGCTGTCTCAAATACGTCATTTGGGTTTAAAAGAGTTGTAGATGTTGGTATAGGTTGTTGATTTCAAATGGAAAAATTATTGGCATTGAAATATGGCAACTGAAATCTTGAACCTAACTGGGTTAATTAAGGTTACTTCGTGAGGATTAAATAAAAATATCAGAATTCTGCTCTGCCCCCCACCAAAGGATATGGTATTTCACTAAAATATATTTTTAGGTTTGTTTTGGCATATTCTTTTCAAAGAGATTTGAAACTCTTAAATTTTTATAATTACAATATCTTATATTTGAACTTTCAAAACATTACTCATTTTGAAGTAGAATCTAAAACTACATTTAAAAACATTTCTGCCTACAGTTGGTCTGTTTAAGGGACTAACCTTTGAACACACTGGTCTTATTTTGAAAGGGCAAGGTGCTTTTTTTTTTTTTTTTTTTAATAGCCAGTGCCCAAGAGAAGCAAAAACTGTGACCCCCCTCCCCTCCACGCCACAAAGTGTTCACATATGTCATCTGTGTTTGTTAGCAATGTTACCTCCAAGTTTGTTACCTTGGAGTAATTGATGAGTAAATCATTACAAATGGGTCCAACTCTAAAGGCAAAATTGTCAAAAAGAAGAAAACAGCAAATCCAACTTGCCTTATGTTTATTAGAGGAAATCCTGAAACTTCTGTAGATTGCAGTGTTAGGAAAATCAAGTTTGTCATTAGAGCGATGTTATGACCACTTCCCCACTCTAACTGTTGTTTAAGGGAGTCCACTCCTAACTGCTGACTCAGTTTGTCTTCACTGCCAGAACTGAAGCGTGACCCAAATTGTCTACTGGGTTGAGTAGGAACAAACGGACTAACTGATGATCACTTGGCAGTTCTAGGTTTACTAAAGAATACTTATTTGGTCTAAACACTGTTTGTTGGGACTGCAAAGGTATAAACAATGCCCCTCCCAGGAAGGAAAAGGAAAACCTAAAATCTTAAGCAAGGGACTCAAGGTCACTGACGGAAGGCACCATTTGAGACCGAGCTCCTCAACTCCAGTCCCATAATGGACCGGAGCCACACAGGAGAGCGTGCAGGAGTTTCGAAGCTGCGTAGTAAAATAGCTGGCGTGGGCAGTTCTTTTATACTCTGGCTAGAGTAAAATTAACGCAGCTTTGCGTTTCTCCATCGCCGCTGTCAGCATCCAGCTAAAGGGTGTAGGGTTAAGGAAAGCGGAACCCAGTTGTCCTTTCTCAGCTGAGTCCTTTGAGAAACTGGGACTGAGAAGGGTGAGCGCCGCGGAGAGGGGCAGGGGTGGGAGAGGGGAGAGGGGAGCGGGGAGAGGGGAGCGAGCGGGGCGGGGAAGAGGCGCGTCTGGGGTTGAAGTCCAGCTGGGAGCATCCAGCGGCGCTGCCTGCAGACGGGGGCGAAGGTAGCCGCTGAGAGTGAGGGGAGAGGGGGAAGCCGAGGGAAGGGAAGGAAGTAAGGAAAGAGGAAGGAAAGGCAGGAGGGGGTAGAAGCTGAGAGGCTGCAATTTCTGCGGCCGGCTCAGTAGGAGGAGCAGGAGGGGAAAGAGGAGGATCCAGAGTCAGTCAGTCAGGCAGCCAGCGGGAGGTGGAGAAAGCAGGAGGAGGAGGAGGAGGAGGATTAAAGATGGCCACCAACAGCTGCGGGAAACGGCAACAACCCCTCACTTTTCGGGATGGTCCCTGCGGGTCGGCCCGGCCTTGATGGAGAGACGAAACCCGAGGAGCGCCGAGGCTGAGGCGGCGGCGGCGGGGACCCAGCGAGGACGAGGACGCGGCGGAGCAGGGACGGGGGCAGGAGAAGGGAAAGGCGGCAGCGTCGCTGCCCCTGCCGCCTAGCACCGCTGCCTGGCCCGGCGGACCGGCTCCCATACCTCGCGGTCGCAGAATCGAGCCCGGGCCCCGGCCCCCGGCCCGCGCTGCGGGGCTCCTGGGCCCCGCCGCGGACGTCGCGCCGGTCGCCCATTCCCCGTAGCCCGTGCGTCCCCAGCGCGGAGCCCCGGCCCGCCGCGGTTCCGGCTCCCGGGCCCGGCCCGCCCGCGCCCTCCGCTGGCCCTCAGGTGAGTGCCCCCGCCATCCTCCCCGCCCCCCGCGCTCCCGGAGAGACGGCGCAGCCTCGGCCCGGCGCGCCCGGCCGCTTTGTTCGTGCGGGGCGGAGGCGCTGCCCACTCGCGGCCCTGCGCCCGCTCCCCCTAGGGACAGGCCGCGGCCCAGCTGCTGTCCTCCCCAGGGTCCGCCTTGGCCCGGAGCCGCCGCCGCCGCCAGGGTTGGCGGCCTGGCCCGAGTCCTCCGCTGCGGCCTGGGGAGGGCGCCGTCGCGATCGGGTCGGGGTCGGGGTCGGGGTCACGGGCGGCGGGCTGAGCGGAGCGGAACCGGGATATTTCGGGGGATAGGGGAGGAGAGGGCTGGACGTTACCTCTGGGAAGCAGTGGGGGCGTAACCTGGCGGCCCTGGCTCGCAGGGGTAGGGGATCAGGCCCTGGCTCCCCCTCTGCATCCCGCGGGGTCTCAGCTCCCGGAGCCCCCCCCGCCCCCCCCGCACCGGACGCAGCCGAGCGCGGCCTCCATCCCTCGGGCGCTGTCTCCAGGGCTTCGGGCCTCTCCCCCTACGCCCTATGCTGGAAGCCCTTCGATTATGGAAGGAACCAGAGATGCTCCAGTTCTCTTGTACTGAGGATGTGGTGGCATCTCAAACATTCACAGTTAAGGCGGGGTTTAAAAAGCAGATGTGACCTTTCCGACCAAAGGCCATCTGGCTAGTGTTTGAGCCTCAGGTGCAGTTTTTCGTTGAGTTTTACCATTTAATTCTGCGATCTGCAATATCAGGTCTTCCTTTCACAGAAACAATGTGATACAACCAGATTGAAAGGATATTTACTGCATATGTGAACCCTTGCATGGACTTCCAGTACCTTAAAAATGGTTAAGTGTTTTCTGTGGGAAAATGGTGCTCATGCATACGAAAAACTATTTTGGTTCAGTAATGGTTGCCAACTAGTTTACTATGTAGTTTGAAAACCAAACAATTAAAAAGGAAAAACAAAACCCTATTATTTGGGCGTTTTAAATAGTGGCATATTTCCAGGTTGGTATTTGGTAGCAGGTTGAGAACAACTGGTTTCGACTATCAGGCGACATAACAAACATAACATAAAATAGAACCAAAAATATGCTAGTTTATAGAAAAACATGTTGTATTAGTGCATAAGTCTAGTAAAAAAAATCCCACTTAAAAATAAAACTTTATCATGAGACTCTTAATATTTATTGCATTAGAATTGAGAACTCTTCCTGCGATATTTGAACAATAGTAGAGTATGTTAACACTTTGAACCATTCCATCTCAAGCTGCTAGAAAGGTAAGTTTCTGCTGCTAGTTTCTTTCCATGAGTTAAAATGGATTCATCTGAAATATAAGCATGCTTTTCGTGGGGCACAGTGGGTCATGCCTGTCATCCCAGCACTTTGGGAGGCCAAGGCTGGGGGATGACTTGAGGCCAGGAGTTAGAGGCCAGCCTGGGCAACATAGAGAAAACAATTTTTTTAAAGGAAAAAAAGTTTCTAAAAATTTATATCACCTCCGAAAAGGAGGGATAAATTAGAAAATACGATGTTCTATTCTTGCAAAATCTGTTTTTAAAAAAGTAAATGACAGTATAATATTTCAATATTAAGTTGGGTTCTCTACTTTGAAGAGATTCTTAAATTCCACTGCTCAACTTTGCAATTTTAAAAGTTTACATCAGTTGTTCTTAATTTCTTTCTTTCTTTTTTTAGAGATAGGATCTTGCCCTGTCACCCAGGCTGGGGTATAGTGGCATGATCATGGTTCACTGCAGCCTTGAACTTCTGGGCCCAAGTGATCCTTCCACCACAGCCTCCCAAGAAGTTAGGACTACATGTGCATGCCACCATACCTGTCTGATTTTTGTAGTTTTTGTAGAGACGAGGGTCTCCGTGTGTTGCCCAGGCTGATCTTGAACTCCTGGCCTCCAGTGATCCTCCTGCCTTAACCTCCCTAAATGCTGGGATTACAGGCATGAGCCACCATGCCCTGCTTCTTTGTTAATTTCATGCATATGCTTCTGAGGGTCCTTGGCTCCCCAGAAATCATATGCAGAATATAGCATATATTTGAATTTTTCCTAGATGAAGAGTCTGTGTGGTGATCGCATTCTCAAAATGATATGGATCTGTAAAAGATTATGAACTTCTAGATAGAAAATTAAAGGATAAATATTCCATATTTGGAAAGCTAAAATTTTTAAATTACATTTGATGATTTATGTCCTTCATTTCTGATTATGCCCAAGAAATGTTTGTGATTAAGAGTTCAGCACATAGATGTTGTTACTAACACATTCTCATTTAAATTGAAGGAAAATATTAATCCCATTTTACAGTTGGGGAAATAGAACAAATTGTTTTAAGGTCATGCAAACACTGGTGGGCCAACATGTGAACCCAGATTGTCTGAAGTCAGAGCCAGCATTCATAACCAGGGTATACTAGACTTTGATCGGTAATACCATTTGATTGATGTAAAAATAAGTAATTGATGTTTTAGTTAGAATTGCAAAGTATATCTGAGATTATCATAGCATACAATATCATGAGATTTTTGGAGCCCTGGACTCCCAGTATGAAGAGATCTTAATGATACTAACCTCATGTTAATGACACCAGTCTGAAATCACACCCGAAGTAGGGTCATTTCTACAGCATCCTTGGAAGGATCATCCACCTCTGATTTTAGTCTTTCCTATGATTACAAATTTCCCCTCTTCTTTTTTTTTCTTGACCTTTTTTTTTTTTTTTTTTTTTTTTCTCTCTCTCTCTTTTGAGACAGAGTCTTGCTGTGTCGCCCAGGCTGGAGTGCAGTGGCATGATCTGGGCTCACTGCAACCTCTGCCTCCCAGGTTCAAGAGATTGTTGTGCCTCAGCCACCCAAGTGGCTGGGACTATAGACCCTGGCCACCATGCCTGGCTAATTTTTGTATTTTTAGTGGAGACAGGGTTTTACCCTGTTGGCGAAGCTAGTCTCGAACTCCTGAGCTCAAGTGATCTGCCTGCCTCTGCCTCCCAAAATGCTGGAATTACAGGCCTGAGCCACCGTGCCAGGCCTTTCTTTTTCCTTTTTTTTTTTAAACATTTTAAATCTGTATTTCTGTGTATATCAAGTCAAAATCGGCCTTCCTGATATTTACACTGATAAATCCAGTTCCCCCTTGGTGTGTGTGGTGTATTTATCATCCATGAAATGGTTAAGAAATAAATGACGACCGGGCATGGTGGCTCACACCTGTAATCCCAGCACTTGGAGAGGCCGAGGCTGGTGGATCGCACCACCGCACTCCAACCTGGGTGACAGAGCGAGACTCCATCTCAAAAAAGAAAAAAAAAAAAGAAATGGCTTCTACTTTAATGTTTTAATGTTTACTGAAGCATAATTTACATGTAGTAAAAGTAAAAGTTTAATAAATGTCTATAATTGGATAGTCTCCACCACAGTCAAGACATAAAGGATGTTTCCATTACTCTAAAAAGTTCACTCATGGCCCGTTATGAGTCAGTGCTCTCCCTCTACACCCCCAGCCCCTGAAAACCATTAATTTAATTGATGCTCTTAAAGTTTTATCTGGTCTAGCATATATAAATGGAATTATACATTACGTAGCCTTTCGTATTCTCTTGCACTTAGCATAATGCTTGATATTTATTAAGTTGTTACATGTATCAGTAGTTTGTTCAGTGATGTGCTGGGAAATGTTTTAACAACATGCTCTTCAGAAAAAAAAAAAAAAAAGAATCCCTGATTTGTGGCATTTGCTAATCATTGTAGTGTAAACACTCACTATGGCCTAAATTAAGCTATCAGCTCACAGAATTCCTGAAAATTTAACAATGGGCTCCCATGAGCTGGTACCAGCCAGCTCCAGCACAGTTCCTGTTTTTGTTGAGTAACATGGTTTTACAGCAGGGTAACACAATTTGTTCATCCATTCCTAAACTGATGGATATTTGAGTTGTTTCTAGTGTTGGTCAAATATGAATAAAGCTGCTATAAACATTTGCATACAGGTCTATGTGAGGGACAAAAATGTTCAGTGTTCCTGAGTTAATACCTAGGAGTGGGATTTTCGGGTCCTAGGATAAGTGTATATTTATTAATATCAGTGACCTTTTTATTGAACTACTGAATTGTTTTCCTAAATGGTGATATCATTTTACATTCCTACAGCAATATCTGAGAGTTTCAGTTGCTTTGCATCTTTGTCAGCACTTGGTATTGTCAGTTATTAAAACTTCAGCCACTTATTACGTGTGTAGTGATCTCCTTTAAATTTTTTTACTCTTATTTTCAGTAGTGTTTAGATTCAACCTAGAAAGTTTATGATAGATGTTTCTAAAAAAATAATTTTCTTTAACTTGGGCATCAGTTATGATCTCACTATGAAGGCTGCAGCCTTTGAAGGCTGTTTGTTGAGTTTTTACTGTGCACTCACCTTCCATGTTGTGAAAATTACTTTTTGTAAAGGCATCATCATTAGGGAATTATTCTAATGCTTAGCTGTTAACAATTTTAAAAATGAACCATTTTAAACAGGTAGATAAAGCTCTGTTTAAAAAATTAGAATTAAGAAATTTATCATAAAGAATTTTTTTTTCAATTTTGACTTGGACTTCAAGGGAAAAAAAGATTCTTTGTGGCTCCCCGTATGCCAACACTTTGCTTTAATGGGATTTCACCAAGTTCTATAAACTCATTCAATTGTTTTTTATTTTAAAATCTTGAGGACTGTTAAGTTAGTTACTACTCTTTCTGAAACCACAGTATCAAAATCTATTTTTTTTGAGACAGAGTCTTGCTTTTGTCGCCCAGGCTGGAGTGCAGTGGCATGATCTCGG